TTTTCTACAAGAGAAGGTTATATATAAGGTCGAGATTTTTAGATACACCCTCTAGAGCTAGACTTTAATATTTAGCGTAAATATAAAGATGCATTATTTTGGCATCAACTAGATCAGATCAGAAGTTTCTAAAGGGAACCAATTTACATTTAAAATTGACTGCGTCCTTTGTAATCGATCTATAAAGACTTTTGTTTGATTTTTATGGAAATTCCTATCAGGTACTGCGTGTAACTTATATTATTTTGTTCTACTAGAGTTATCTACGTTTTATAGAATCACGTTTCAACGTTATCAGTACCAATAACAAACTGTAATTACTCTTACAGTAATGTAATTTACAGATTATAACATTTAGTAACATTTTATATTGACACAGGATTCGTTTATGTATACGTTTTATTTTTTAAAATAATAAATTTGAATACAATAGAATTGAATTTAAACATACACTAGTAGAAAAAATTAATGGATCAAAAAAATCTCGATTTTTGCGATTTTTAGAGTGGCTGTATCTTTGGTAAAAATGGTCGTACGTGAATGAAAAAAAAAAAAAAAGCAATTTGAAGCTTGAAGTGTCTAGTTTATGGAAAATTTTCTAACCAACAATTAGCACAAAAAATTCACTCGCATGAAACAATGAAACGGCTCGATGGATCAGGTTGAAATTTTGTAGGGCTTTCGGGGGAACCATGGTCTGTAAGATGCACACTCAACATTATTCATTTTCCCAATAGTCTCAATGTGGCACGTGATTTTCTAAAAAAACTAAAAAATACCTGTTTTCCGAAATTCTTCAAAGTCATGCTAGGGATGAAAAAAATTTTCTCGTGAAAGAACATGCCACAACCTTGTAGAGAATGAATCGAAGTTTCTGAAACCCCCTTCCATTTTCTGAGCGGCCATTGGTTCCTGAGATATTGACGAGAGAAGAGTAAATGACGCATTTTCGTTCATTTTCTGATAACTCAGCAAGGAAGGGTCATCTCGAGGCCATCAAAAAAAGGAATTGAAGCTAAGTGAACCACCTATCCAATGCATATAGTGGTTATCTCTAGAAAAAAATTTTCAAGTCCATACACTAAAAATTAAAAATTTCATAAAATTTCTATCCATGATATTCATCAGGATTTTGTGCTAATTGTTGGTTGGAACATTTTTATCGCAAGATCCATAAACTAGACAATTCAAGTTTCAAATTGCTTTTTTTTTTTCATTCACGACGACCATTTTTACCAAAGATACAGCCACTCGAAAAATCGCAAAAAAATTGAAATTTTTTTTTTATCCTTTAATTTTTTCCACTAGTATATTTTACGTTTTTAAATTTTAAATTTCTTCTACCATACAGGGTGTTCCATACTAAAATTTATCTTATCTAATTACCTAGATAGATGTTTTATGGATTTCGCCTGAATTTTTATTTATCCAAAATTCAACAACCACTCGGTATACAATTTAAAATTAGGTATATTGATTTTTATCGATCAAAGACATTACAACATATTCTCGATCTAGCAAACTATAGAAACCATAATTAAAATCCAGGTCTGGCTTAACAAAATTTGGCAATTTCTTTACACCTCAAAAACAACACATTGTATAACAAAATTTTACATTTATATGATAAGTAATTTCAAAAGAGCGGAAAAAATGATTTAGAAAAGGGATCTTTTATATTTGGAAACCAATTTTTTGTTTTAGTTTTTAAACAAGTTAATAAAAAATATTTTCTTTATACAAAACGTACGGATAATATTTCCTTTTTGTAGGTACGTTCACATAATGGTAAAAATGTTTTACAGATCCTAAACCATTCATTTTTAAAAGAACTTTTAGGTCCGTTTTAAAAACAGAACTCAGCTGAGTCGTCCTCGAAGTTGGGTTACAAAATCTCTAAATTTCCAGGTGGTTCAGGTGTTACACTAGAATTTAGAGGTGGAGAGTAGGACATCTTTAACTGTTAAGTCCATTTACGGATTTGTTACTACCCATCTCTAAATTCACGGGATATAACGGAACTTCGATTGTTGTTCAAGGACGACTTAGCTGGGTCGGACTTGGCTGAGATCTGTTCATAAATACGGACCTTATATAGATATAGTAACGGATATAGAGTAAGAGCAGGTTGTTTGCACCAAAATATGAGGATTGAATCAAACGTATTAATAAAATGTTGCTGTTGAAAAATTAGCACAAAGGCACGTTAGGCAATAAATTTAATTTATTATTTTACATTTTGATACAGGGTGTGCCACATGGGCGATTCCTGGTGATGAAATAGGATCATACCTTAGTGACGAAACTTTACTAATTTTGATTAGAAAATATGATATAAACATAATTTTTATGTAAAATACTTTTTTTAAGACCGACGAGACAATATACACTTTCTGAACAATTTTTCGTCCAGAAAGTAACGTTATTAGCTTATCTGCCCACAGATTACAAAACGAAAAAGTATGCTATTGAATTCAACTGAATGATTATATTTTATATCAATTCTAGGTTGTGAGAACACTGCAAAAAAATTAAATCCACTAATCACAATTCATATTCTGATCAACCGACTGCTATTATTTTTAGCATTTTAAATAAGTGACAATATATTAAAATGAGTTATTCTTGTGTAGAATCGATAAATATAGGAATTTCTATTTTTATTTCGTCTATAATTATAAATAATTGGTTAATTTAAATAAAACTATGTGAAGTCAGATTAATTATGAGTATTAAAGCAAAAAAATTAACGCCTAGATGGTCCTGTGTCAGCGTTCTTGCCTTTCATACGGATAACTCGAGTTCGAATCCCAGATGGAGAAAAATGCATTTGTAATAAAGTCCTATTTGATTTTAATTAATAACATATATTGGAACCCAAAAACTCATAATTAATCTTAATTCTACTAGTAAATAAGTGGTTTTCCATGTGCCAAATACTGGACTTTAAATGTGGCAAATATTGGAATAAACAAAAATGTATAGTTGTGAAAAAAGTGACAAAGAAAATTATTTTTTGCCAGAAATAAGAACATTTATATAAATATGTTATTAATAAAGGGCTTCCTTCCTGAGTGCCCAAAACTAGTCCAAATTATTATATTGAGTCATTTAAAACTACAGTAACTAAATATTTAAAATCCGAACCTTAAAGTGGCAATTACTGGTACATTCACCCTATTGTCTGACAACATATCCAAAGGGTTTCCTATAGGCAAGACTTCTCCGATTATGTTTAAATCTTCTTCGGACTCATGTACATCCTCGATAACTTGCTCTCTAATTATATTTGATTAAAATCCATACAATTAAAATAAACATAACAATTTATGATTGTCACTGTCATTCAATGCTTAAGTAGAAAACTCTGAATTTCTTTATCTGAATGGAATCATCATGCTCCTCAATTTCTCTCTTACAAAATATTAAGAGAAGCATTTGATTCTACTGATAATGAATGTTCTGTAGAAACGCTTTCAAGCATATGGTTTTTGAAATATCGGTAGAACCATGCCCACTTTCATTCGGTTGGTTTATTTCATCGCCGTCAATAATAGGGGCTCCCGGCTGATATGGCTAATGGTGGGATAATAGAAGTTTGAAGGAGATTAACTCTTTTATAGCGTTACAAGGTTAGATGAGAGAATTATGTCATTGCTATAATTTTTTTAGGAAATCTTATTATGTATACAGACAAACGTAGACACACCTATATGAAATTTCCAGGAAAAATTTAATAATAAACTTGGATTTGGAAAGAATGGATTTACAGTACCAGCTATCGAAAGCTTTCGGATACATTTTGCACAAATGCATGTAAAAGCTACAGATAGTTAGTAGTATTAGTGCGAATAATATCAGCATTTCCAGTTTATAACCAGCCAACATTACAATGAGGACAGGATGTATAAATCTGTAACTTTGATTATTCGTTTCCTGCTTGGCCTAATGCTAACTCTCGGTAGTGTTCACATGGTTTTGTGCAAAACGTTCAGTGGCTGACAGTGTATGTTAAAAAATTAAGTAAATTTCCCATTGGTTTTTTCTCAATAAATTACGTTTTTGATTTTTTTTCCTGGGCTCTTCTGACTATGTGTCTCCGAATAACACTGAAGCCTATTGGATTATTGTGTTTTACCCCATGTTAGTTCATAGCACCCACTCTATCACCTTTGTACCTTGTACAAGTTTGTACAGATCCTTGGGTGAGTGGGTTCTATACGTTGTTGGATCAACCTGGGGTTGTCCAAAAAGAGCCTGTCTTTTGCGATCTAGAGCTTCGCATTCGCACAGTATGTGTTTGGCCGTTTCTGGTCTCTTGTGACATAGTCGGCACATGAGTTCCCCATTGTACATGCCAATTTTGTTCAAGTGTCCCTTTACTGGGGCGTGCCCAGTCATGAACCCTGTTATCACTTTCAACTGGTTCCTATTCATTAAGAGTAGTTCTCCAGTTCTTTTGGGACATGGTCTGCCTATGAAGGCTTTTCCATGTGCCTGTTTTGGGGTGCTTCCCCAATAGTTGATTAACGTTTTTGATTAATTGATTGGTTAAAAGTGTAGATACACGACAGGAAACAAAAATTGTGAAAATCTATAAGAAAATGAAGGGAAACAACTCAAAACTCTGAAAGAAAGAAAAATATAAAAACAAAAGAAAGGAATTACTGAGTTAAGTAAAAGAATATCATAAACATAAACTGTATATTATATACTTTTTTAATAAACTTGGAATATATGAAATTTGCTTGATAAACTTGTCAATGACAGAATTTAATTTTTTTGTATAAATGCATAATTAACTAAATAAAATTAAATAAAACAAAATCATAAACTTAAATTCCATAATTTTGCAAACAGTGACAAACACTTTGGTATCAGTAATAAATTTTTGTCAAGCCAAGTTAAAATATGAAAATTACATTATTTGCATTTTCATTGGATATAAACAATTCTTGAGAAAAGAAAGAAAATACAAATTTTAATCAAAATATGCATACTTGTAAAAGCCTTGATGCCATGGTAAATAACTCAAAACCACAATTGCAGTTTCAGATTTTGGATCATGTCTGCAAAACCCAAAGGTCCATTTTGATTCCAGATCAGTTAGCACAAATGAATAATGCTGTATCACATCACTTAAAAACATTTAAAATATAAACATTATAAATAATCTACCCTTAGATAATATTAAGGGTGTATTATAGCTCATTGTGACATTTGTTAGTTGATGAAATAATCCAAGATATAGATGTTCAACACAGTAGACTAAAATTGTTGCAAACATTTCGTCAATACCCATACAGCACACATTATTTCAGAAGTGTTTCAGAAATATTTCAAACATATAACATTTAAAGCACAAGTCTCTGAAATATTTTAGTTAAATATTTCACTGAAAATGTTTCTGAAACATGGTATACATCTTAAAAAAAAAGGTTACTAAACGGGTTATGTTGTAAAAGGCCAACACATAATGAAGCATTTCTGATTTGTAATTATAAGAAGAAGATGGGATATGTTACATGTAGTTATTTTATTTCATTCTAAGTCCAGCCAGAGACAACCCTATATTCTAAATAATTATAGATTTAAGTTGTCAGTTTTGCCATTTCCTTTTTTTGTTATTTATGCGTTGTGCTGTTGTTATATGGGAAGCAAAATATGGGGTCTATTCTGTAACAATTCCTTTATATTTAACAGCCTTTAAAAATATTGGCGGCCTTTAAAAATATGTTCGTATTCGTTAATTTACTTCTGTCATTATTTAAACAGATTTCTTTAAGATAGTCCTCTAATGTATTTTAAAGATCCGTTTAAATAATGACAGAAGTAAAGAAGAAAATATTTTTAAAGGCCATTAAATATAAAGGAATTGTTACAGAATAGACCCCTATGTCTTTCAAAATTGAGGTGAGTATTACAGAAATATTGCTTGTTTAGGTTTATTTACTTCTCTTCTCTGAGAGGAGTGATGCCATTTCGTTTATCAAATTTATTTTTTTTAAATGTGTATATTTATAAATGTCTTTTTTTAGTCTAATAATATTTTGGAAAAAAACTACTATTTAATATTTCTAAAAGATTTCAAATTTTTATTTCAGAAATGTTTCTGGGATTTTTCGTAATATTTATACATTACAAATGTTTCAATGTAATATTTTTGAAATATTTCCGCAATGTTTTTGTGCTGTATGGGTATGGAAGAATTAGTAAAAATATTAAAAAGTACAAGTACCTAAATATATTTTTGAAAAACAAATCTCTATACCAAATTAAAGATGCTTTAATATCTAAAAGATAACTCTTATAATTTTTTTTTGTGATTTCCTGAAAAACAATGTCCACCAATAAACATTAATTGTCAATAATGTTAAAATTTAAAACTGAAAAATATTTTATGCAGTTTAATTACCAACAGGTCCAGGTAAGTATGGGATCAAATAGTTTGTTAAAAGTAATTTCTTGCAAATACAAGAAGGAATTGTAGTAATGGTTGTATTACCAAAGATGAGCAAGAGGAAGAATAAGAAGAACAATATTTAGAAAGAGACACAAACAAACTAGTAAATGCATTTTCATGAATTTGAAATATAGATCATTACTTTACATTGCTCTAGCTTTGAGCCTGTTCTATCCACATAGAGGAGAATTAATAATTATTTAATTCAGTATAGATACGTTGTTCAAACAATAGTCTTAAACAGGCAAAAAATATTACATAAATTTAAATTAAATCTACTTCTTCTTAGGTAGGTATATCTTGGATTATTTCGCTACAAATGGATTTACATGAATAAAAAATAAACGACATACTTTTGAAATTTGTAGGGATAGGCAAATTTTGGTACAGATTTTAATACTTCCTGATCTTTGTATTTGTCTGGGTATTGTTGTATAATCCATGGTTCATTCTGATCTGTTGGAGGCACGACTTCGCAAAAACATTCAAAAAAGTGTTTCACATTCTCCCTGGAATATATAAATATGTCTTCTTGTTTCTAATTCTTAATATAAATGCGCCCCCGCTGAGATATACAAAAAAAAACTTACCTTATTCTTGAACCCATCACGTAGGTAAATAAACAAACAAAGTATTACTTCATTGTAATTCTATTCACTTGTATCTTAGAGATTTCATTAAACTTTTATACTCATTAAGATATACACATTTAAGTTAATAAAAAATGTTTTAAATGATAATTATTCTAACAGTATACACAGAGAAAGTCCACATCTGACAACTCTAGTAATGACAAATACAATGATGACAAATCTGACATTTCTTGACAGTGACATTTTGACATTTATAACTAACGACATCTAGTGGTAAACTTTATATCATGGATCAAATAATTTGAATGTGTCTACTAGTACGAATAAACATACATATTCTTTCATTCCTATCAATTATGGCTACGTTCAGCAGAAAAAATCTGCACAGGGATTCTTATGTGCGAACTCGATACGTTACGTGTTGAATAGAGACATTACATAAGAATCGCAGTCTGTAGGTTCTTTCGTTCGCTGTTGGTTCAGTGTCCACCAGTGTGTCAATTACACTACCTTATTTACCTATTACTTCCCTCCTTATTCCTTTAATATACATGTCGAGTGTAATTCACTCCTTTCTCCATGATTCACTCCTACCTCCTACTAAATAGATGGTGGAGAAAGTATCCACCAATGAACTGGAGGGGGGGTAGAATGCCAATGTACATGTTGTACTATTAGAACAAGGTGCGACTCGATGGGCGCAGCCATTTTTATTGTTCATCTCACTCGGGACTATTTATAATAACCATTTTCTGTTTCACATTGTTATTGTTCAATCCACAAGCTGGTGGATCAGACAATAACAATGTGAAATAGAAACTGGCTATTTTAAATACTCCCGAGTGAGATAAAAAATAACCTATCTTCGTCCATAGAGTCGCACATCAAGTCTATTGACAAGCATTCTACCCCACTCCAGTTCATTGGCATCCACCGCAGTGGACACCACATCGCCGACCGAAAGGTGTAGTGGATTTTACACCGGGCCAAACGAAAAGTATAGTGGCCGTTGGTGTAGTTCATTCCTAATTCCTACACCACTGGGACCAACGAGAGAACCTTGTATAAACTGAATTTTATGCAGTGGGGCATCCAGGGTTTAAGTCTGGAGGGTAATGGTAATAAAATTTAAGTCTGAAGGTTAGTGGTAATATTCAAGACCTTATTTTTGATGATACATTTTAGTACCTGTAAAAAGAAATGCTTCATTAAGTGTTGGCCTTTTACAACATAACTCGTTTAATAACTTTTTGTGTAACATGTATACCATGTTTCAGAAACATTTTCAGTGAAATATTTAACTCATATATTTCAGAAACTAGTGCTTGAAATGTTATAATATATATGTTTGAAACTTTTGAAATATTTCTGAAACATTTCTCAAACAATGTGTGCTGTATGGGAAGGTCGGTGGTTCAAATTCATTCATTGGAGAACTCTTGCTTCATGCGAATGTAGAGCACGCTTAAAAGCATGAAAGGAGTACAATCATAGATATAGTACAATAATCCCAAAACTATAGCACAGGAGTTCTAATCTTCATCTTTATAGAAATGGGTTATCTAGCTCTATATAAGGTCTGTTCTGGTTTTGAGAAATAACGATCCACAACTGTCGGGCTCATGCGCAGTATATCTGGTTTGTCTCGGACTACTTCGAATCTTCCAGTCCAATGTTCTGGTTTCGTATCCGAAATAATCCGTGATTGTTGTTTTTTATTTATTTATTTATTGTTGTAAACAGTCAAAATGTGTTCTGCTTTGAAGTATGGATCGACTCGGACTGTTTTGACCGCGCATGCGTTTTAGAAGTGTTATTAATATTGTATTAGCATTTAAGACCATATACAGAACGTATATAATCCCAAATTGTTTATATATGTGTGGACGAATATGTCTCTTGTTCTTGTTCTATTTGTAAATTGAGACAATTTTAGAATAAATAATTTTATATTATTCTCCCGTTTTTTTTATTTCATTGAAATGTGATGATGATAATGTTATTTGAAGCTGAGCTTTCAAAGGGAACTACTACATTATTATAATAAACAATAAACAAAACACCTTTATGTGGTTTGTTTTTCCAACAATTTCAAACAGTCGAGGATTTTTTCCTTTACGCACACGGTCCAGCGTAGTTTTAAAATCATTTTCATTTTGAGAACCAGACAAAACCTTTAGGTTCGCGATCATAGTCATGCATCCAGATCGTGGAAAGTCTCATACGGCTGAATTAGAATACGGTAGGATAATATAATGACATTTACTACTTTTAATAAATTATTTTTGATATTAATGGTTTGATAATAGAAACAACGTTTGATAGATAAACAAAAGAACACATCTATATGCCGCGTTTGAGAATCCACATCGGATGCATCTGAGATGTAGTAAATCTTTGATCACGTGATTCAGTATACGTAAATGTAATGGGACAGATGTGTCCGATGTGGATAAAACGTTCGACATGTAAAAAATGCATCCTATGTGGATTCTCAAACGCGGCAATTAACGACAGCTCTTTGGCTATCGTTGATGAACGACAATTTTACAACCATATTTGTTTATTTTCAACGACAATCGTTGTCTACTGAATAAGAAAAGTCGTCTGTGAACGATTATCGTCTTTTAACGACGTCGTTCAGAGTTACTGAATAGGGGTGAGATTACAGAACGTCTGCAACTTTGCAGATCTGCAAATATGGCGGTAACTTTGAAAATCTGCAAATATGACTGACTTACACATGCAAGTATCAAGTTTTCGTATTCCAAATTTGGGTTTAGTGTTGTCGGGGGTAATAAACCACAATAAATAGGTCTGTTCTGGTTTTGAGAAATAACGATCCACAACTGTCGGGCTCATGCGCAGTAGATATAAAGTGTTCTGGTTTTTCTGGGACTACTTCGGATCTCTCAGTCCGGTGTTCTGGTTTCGTATCCGAAATAATCCGTGATTGTTGTAAACAGTCAAAAAGTGTTCATGCTTGGGAGTGTGGATCGACTCGGACTGTTTTGACCGCGCATGCGTTTTTGAAGTGTTATGAATATTGCATTGGCTTTTTAGACTATACGAAACGTATACAATCCCAAATTGTTTATTTATATGTGGACGAATGTCTCTTGTTCTTGTTTTATTTGTAAATTAAAGCAATTTTAGAATTATTAATTTTTTAATATTCTGTTTTTATTTATTCCATTGAAATGTGATGATAATGATAAACATATACATGCAAATGTTATTTGAAGCTGAGCTTTCAAAAGGAACTTCATTATTATAATAAACAATAAACAAAACACCTTTATGACGTGTTCTGGTTTTCCAAGAATTTCAAACAGTCGGGGATTTTTTACCTTTACGCATACGGTCCGGCGCAGTTTCAAAACAGTTTTCATTTTGAGAACCAGAACAAACCTAATATTGCGAATTTGCAGATATTTTTTAGAATACTTGCATTTGTAAGTCCGCCATATTTGCAGATACGCAAAGTTGCAGATCTGCAAAGTTGCAGACGTTCTGTAATCTCACCCTAAGCCCTTTTCTTTAGCATGACTTACTTTTCTGATTTTTAAGTATCTGTAACGAGGGAGTTTTAGCCACTACCTATGAGGTTGACTTTTACAGTTTTACACGTGTCAGCTGTCGTCAAACGTCAAACTAACGAATAATCTTTCAAAGTTGAAAATATTTTTTTTAGGCAAAATATTTATAAACTATGAGAATACGGACAGATATTTATCCAAAAGCAATCAGAGACGCATTTGCTACGGGATTTATGTTTGTGACAATGCCGATAGTCTATTATTTTGAATTATTTATAGTTTCGCCAAGGTACAATGGAGTGGACTCTCCTGCCCATTATTTTCATTTCATATGTGGAACTGTTATCATTTTTAATATTTACGCAAATTTAGTCGCAATTATGATGAGTAAAACCAGTATAAAAGGATTAGTTTTATCTATCGAGAGGAGACCTGATTGGAGGTATTGTGCAGTTTGTGAAACTCTAGCGCCTCCAAGATCACGACACTGTAATGTATGTAATGTCTGCATTTTGAAAAGAGATCACCATTGCAAGTTCACTAGTTGTTGTATAGGTTTTGAAAACCATCGTTATTATATTGTATTTTTAGTATATTTACTATCAGGATGTCTATATGCATCTTATTATAACCTGAATTTTGTTGCAGATCACATACATTTTAATTGGTCATGGAAGTCTCTAATTAAATTAATATTTTCATTCCATACATTTTTTGCTATTGAGTGGACTGAATACCACATTTATATTCTTGTGATAATAATAGTTTTGTTGGCGACACTCTTTACTGGAGCCTTACTTATATTTCATGTTAACCTGATGTTGAGGAGTGTTGTAACCAATGAAAGAAACATAACAAAATATAATCGTGGTAAATTGGAAAATATTAAACTTACTTTAGGTGAGAGGTGGTATTTGGTATGGTTATCACCATGGATAGAAAGCAAATTACCCTGTGATGGTATAAACTGGGAGAAAATGTCAGTAAAAGAACAATAACAGAAAGTTGATTATAAATTCCACAAAAGTATGCACTTTTTTTACAAAATTCATCTAGTAGAAATAAGTTATCAAATTATTGGTCATTGCACTTTTGATTTTTTTTCTCACAACACATAACTGCAGTTTTACCAAAAAAAGTTACCTAGTTATAGATAAAGAATTTAATAAAGTTATTAATTAAAATATTGTCATTGTTTGTTAATGATGAAAACCTATCATCTTTAGGTACTAAGTTGCTTTAAATACTGTACATAGTGGTACAAAAGTAAAGAAATATAGCGATGGCTAAGAGGACAAATGTTGCATGCCTAAAAAATGTCATTTTGAGTAAAATCGATTTGAAAGTTGGAGGCTCATTATGATGAGCTGTATAGTTTGTATTAGTATTACCTTACTATATTTGGCAATCATGAAGATTTTACCTTGAGGGACACAGAATCGTTCCCATCTCATTTTAGACAAAATGGACATACAATATTTGTCCTCTTAGCCAACGATAGTGCCCATTAATTCATTTTCATACATTTTGAATGCTTATCGCGTCGCTATTTGGAGACCGTAGATACCTTTTTCTATCTAAAAATTTGAAGTTACATACCAATTTTAGAAATTCTGAATATTTGCATGTAATGTAGAGTATGGAGACGTGTATGCCACAAACCGGAAAACGGTAGCATAAACGGTTGCCAAGTTATATTAAAATAGTCTATTCTACCCTTACTAATATTTTTACATCTTTTTTTATCATAACATTCTTTTCCCCAATAGCAGTAAGATATATACGAAATAAAAGATATCGGTAAGGAGAACATTTGTTTTTATTATGACTTTTCTCAGTTGTCTGTCTGTTCCCAGTTACACAGTGTCTCTACTTAAGTTGAAACCATATGGAAAACTTTTTTATTATTTGTTTTGTGAAAAAATGTGTTATTGATAATAAGTTCTGCATGGTCCAAAACTTGAAATGTAACTATTAGATATCAATTTTTTTAAGCCTTATATGAGGTTTGCCAAAAAATATGAATTTTACTCAAGAGTAAAGTATTTTTTAGAATACAGTTATGTTATAAACTAAAGTTATTTTAAATTAAAAAGTTATATTAAAATTTTCAATTACAGTCATTTAACATAAAAATGAAGGTTAGGTGATTATTTACAATTTACATTGTAAATTATTTGTAGTTATAAATTAAATAATCAAACCTGAATTTTAATGCTAAATGGCTATAATTGCAAATTTAGATATAACTTTTAATTCAAAATAACTTTACTTTATAACATTCTTCTGCCCAGACAACACACCAAATCCCAGAAATATCCACAGAATTTTTTTTTGTGGATATCCAATATATCCACAGGATATCAGAAATATCTCGTGGATCTAATATGGATATCCAAATGTCCGTCTATATCCAGAATATAGAAGATATATGGGATATCCAGCAAAATATCTAATGGGTATCTTCCAGACAATACAAGAAATCCCAGAGATATCCACAGAATATATTTTGTGGATTTCCAATATATCCAGTAGTGGATATCCAAATGTCCGTCTATATCCCAGGATATAGAAGATAGCAATAAATGAAAATTCTCGACTCCAGTCTCTAATGGAGTCTGATTGGGATATCAATTTCGATCGAACTCAATTACGGCGGGTCGAGCATGAGTAGATGCGAAAGTGGTATCGCCATCTATACTTAGTAAGCAAAATCAAATAACATCTAGTGGATATCCACGATGGTTTGCGTTCGCGCCTAGACTTTGATATATTTAGTGGATGTCCATGGGATATTGAATTCACCTTAAAAAAATTAATTTTAAATATCTGAACGGTACTATTAGCCACAATGGCGTAATTTTTTAATAATTTGCTATATAATTACTATTATTTATGGACATTTGCATGTCTATAAATTACATCTCATAGATATAAAATAGATATCCACCATGGACTGGACATTCAGTGGATATTGGGATGTTCAGTAGATATCCAAAGGATTTGGTGTGCTGTCTGGGTGTATTGTAAAAAATAAAGGTACTTTACACTTGAGTAAAATTTATATTTTTTGACAAACCTCGTATACGGCTTAAAAAATTGATATCTGATGGTTGAATTTAGTATTAGGAATACATTTTTTCACAAAACCAATAATAAAAAAGTTTTCCATATGGTTCCAACTTAAGTATGATAGTGCAAGTGACTAAACACAGTTTTTTTTATTGAAAACCGACTTTAACTCTGAAAGTTCTTTTGCAAGTGTGTTCTGACATAAATTCTACTCCCCCCCCCCTCACGCCTGTCATGGTAACGACTAAACAAAAACCCAAATCATGTGATGAGGAAACGCCTAGTTGTTAAGTTATAGATGATTTAATTTAGCTGAAATCAGTTACGGAAAAACTGTTGCCATAGAGACAATAGACCTTTTCATCATGTGTTGAAATAGCGGTAATTCAAAAGTTTCGTACTGTTTTGATTGACAATGGCTGGGAAAGCAATATTATCTCTACAAAAAATTAATCATTAGAAAAATCTTGATGGTGATTAACTTTTATATAACTCTGTGGAAGCGCATAGTTGTGAGCAGTTGAAAAGGTGGTTGAAGTGTCTTGGATGTTTGCTATAAAGGAAAAAGTGGACTGATTCAGAGGTTAGGTGTATCAATACTTCTTAACTGTGTAAAAAATTAATGGAAACAAATAAATTATAACTCTATTCTAATTAATTATGCCAACCAACTATTAGTACTTGCAAAAACACCATAATTAACACGATAGTTAATCACGAGTATAATTAATAAAATAAATTATTTAATATTTTAAGGATCAACATGATATTTTCATATTACTGTGTATATCGAAGTAGTATTTAATATTAAAAAAATATTGTGTAATACTAGATAAGAATTTTCTTCTGTTGGACCACTTTCGCCTTGAAAATATAGTGAACAAATATAAGTATCTTTAGTAACATCATCAATCCATCAAAAACCGTTGTCACTTCGACCACATTTTGTCACACCTAATACAGATTTTGCTAATAGTTTTTTGAACATGTTTTAATATGGATTTTGCCTGATAATTTGATATTTTTTTACGATGTTGCAGCCAAGGCTTTGGAAAATTTATAAAATAATATGTATTGCCTTTGAATGATTTATACCGTGTGTCACTTTTACATACTCCATAACAACTCCGTTTCGTTGTTCCTTTCCGTACAGGTAAATAATTGATTGCAAAAATGTATTTTTCAATCAAGACACTAAACTTATTATTACTTTGTGTTTTTTACCTTTTTTTTTTTTTAAATTAATATACCCAAATTAATATTTATGGATTATATTTTTTTTTACGTGGGTATTTTAACATATTTGTTTACAAAAAGAGTACGATACTGACGCATGCTCACAAAAAAAATTATGGTAACGACTAAACAAAAAACCCAAATTCAGTGGTAAGGAAATGCATAGTTGCTAAAATCAGTTACGGAACAACTGTTGCCATAGGGATACTTATCATTACAACAACTAAACAAAAACTCAAATCTCGAATTGAAAAATTCATAGTTACCAAATTATAGATGATATAATCTAAATTTCGTTTAGCTGAAAGGCATTTTTCATGCAAGACTTCTACCTATTACTTTCATTTTATAACTATTATATTGTACTAAGTAATTAAAACAGTTGTAATGTTTAAAATTTTTCAATGTTAATACTTTTTAGATAGAATATTTTTGAATCACACTGTAAATTCTAAAATATTTTTTAATTATAGCTCCAATAGATATTCATCTTTCTGTATAAAAGTAATTAAAAAAAAAAACATGTTATAGTCTGGACCGACGCGCGACGTGTATATGTAATACAAATGGCTTTATATTCGTTATAATGTAAATGGGGTAATAATATTTATGATTTTATTATTGTTTGTCCATTAAATTGGTCTCGAACCATTGGACCCGATCCTTTGGAAAGCATACGTAGGGCCGTGTAACCAACACGTAGTGGCCCTTTGGTGTGGCGGATAAAATCCTCGACAGCATCATATGATATATACCCGGATACTATAATTGTTTTTATATTAAGTAATAATTAGTATTATTTGCCTGTAATAAGCACTACAAAAACAGAATATAAGCACTGGTCTATCGTGCAATTAGTTACATTTAGGATGGTATAACTCTGAACGGACAAGTAATTGAGATGAGTCGTAATGAAGAGAAATGTTCTCCTTAAAAATATCTTTCAATTGGTATTGGTATATAACTTATCCTTATTGGGGGTGGGGCAATTTCCCATATATTTCTGCATCTTGTCGCTACTTGTCTTTGCAATTCTGTGGCCACTTTGCCTCCAACTTCTCTCTCTACTGATTTAACCTGAAGTCTTCTACCGAATTACGGAGTAGCACCATATCATTTACATACATTAAAACATTACCAGATATCTCACGTAATTTCGTGTAATTATCAAACAGAAATGAACTCAAGAGTGAACCTTGATGTAGACCTATCTTCAATTAATTCTTGTGTCTACTTTGTGACTCCTTTATAGACAACTCATTTCCAGACTATCCTGAACCGATCGGATCGGAGGCGTAGGTGTCTTAGGACCGATTCCACCGTTGTGTTAAACGAAGTTTAAAATGACATTTTTACATTAACAGTGTCATTTTAATCGCAGTTTAACACAACGGTGGAATCGGTCCTAAGGTGCTCGCATTCATTTGCGAGCAAGTTTCTGGTTAAGAGACACCCGGCTTCTAATAATACAGAAGACCATGTGAATTTATTTGTATGGTTCTCTATAAGATTTGATAGATGCCGTATTAACAGAAATTTAATTTCTGTTGATATGACATCCAGATTATACAAATCGCCATGCATTACCATTTTGATCATGGTGGGTGAGATTTTCCGGGATTTCCTCATCTGTAAGTCAAATGGCACCATCAATCATCTTTAAGTCGCTCCGGAGCTCCACGGCAAATAATAATAGCCATCCCTTCC